CCCCCCCCCCCCCCCCCCCCGGGGGGGCCCCATGCAGGCCAACTTCCCCCTAAAACAAACCCCTGCTCAGTTGTGTGTGATACAAAAAATTGTGATCAGTTTCGTCATATCCAAAAATAAAATAACTCTTTTGTTTCTTGAGAGGGGGAGGGAAAAGGGGACTTGAACCCTTACAAATCCTTTATAAGGCAAGGAGTACAACTGAACCAAAGGCCCGTTGGTTAAAAAAAAAAAAAAAAAAACTCATAACCCCAGCATGGAATTGAATTACTTCAACCCTCAAACCCTATACACAAATACAAATAATCGAAAACTGTGTACGTAGTACAAAAGAATTTGCTTTACTTTTCTCAAACTGTATTGCCCTAGACATTTCTCTTGAACATATGCACAAAGTCACCCCATCGCCCATCAAGCACACAAGAAATCATTTGTATTAAACTCTCGTTGGCATAAGACTTGTGGTGGAGGGAATTTATGAAGAAAAGGGTGAAGGATCTTTCAAGAAGAAATTCCCATACATAAGTATTATACCTGAAACTATGTACTTCTCAATAATGTGTCGTGCCATGTAAATTCTTCTTACAGAATCATCAAATGGTATTTTATCAAGCTGTTGCACTTCATCATAAAAATGCACACTCTCCCCAGCCAAGCAACTGTAATTATGAAGCAATAAAAAGTATTATACCTGTCGAAAAACACAATCGAATCGTGACCAAATTGAAACTTAAATTTCATAAGAAATAGAAAACCTGTTTGCAAATGCCATAAATGACTGACGGAATCTTCTGTTCAGAAGAAGTTTATCCAAAGGTTCATTAGGCTCAATGATTGAATCAGGTGCCCTCAGTAATAGTAGCCCACTATCCGGTATGCCCAGAGCCCGGCCCATCGTCTCCAAATCCTGATGTTCCTTTTTCCTTAAGCTCATAAGCGAGACCAGAGGTTGAGAACTTGAAACTGAGAAGAATGCCAAAACAAGAACACTTGCCTGTGAAATAAATTATAAAAAAGAAATGTAAGCTTTAAGAGGAAAATATATCAAACAAGGATAAATCAATATAAGCTGAAGCTGTGGATAAGCTCAGATCTAAATCAACCAAATGGCAGACGATGACTACAAGATGATGAAGTAATAATAATATCAGCATACCGTAACTAATAGCAGAAATCTGGACACAACTTGAAGCCGTCCATTATCATCATGGATCTCATTCAATATGTAAGCAACTACCCATATTCCTGAAAAGAAAGAAGTAATACAAATGCCGAGATCATTAATTAGATAAAGTTTAGTTAGTTATGATTAGCAAGTACTCGAGCAGACATATAAGACCATACTGAACAGAGGAGAACATCAGCACTTCAGTAGCTGAAAGGAGCATGAAGGGATCCATGGAAACTGCAAAATGGGAAAAAACTGCACGAACCAGGGTACAAAACTAAGGCTTCTACAGCCAGATCCAACTTCAAGACAAGCTTCTGAATGTATGTGTACACATCATCAACTTGTATGAAGTTGTGAGGAGTTAAATAGAAGGGTGACAGACCAAAAACACCACTTCCTTGACAGGCATTGCATACTAGTTATTCCACTATACCTAAGTTCAGGTCCTATTTTACTCTCAGAGGAATAGCCTTAGGCAAAAAAAGATTCTAAAATTAGAGTCAAAGGTTTGTACTTTAGCAACTTCTTAACTTTCAAGTTTGCACCCCCTGGGATGGGTAACGATAGGAAAATTCTCCAAGCCATTTGAAGTTCAGAAACGCACAATTTGGCTCATATTGTTCAGACTTTGGAAACAAAGGACTTTCAACCTCCAGAAATCTTATGTCATGCCACTGCTTGTCATTCATGAATGATCATGCTTGAATTTTTTCTAAATGTAGGAACTCAAAGAGCTAGCTAGACTAGGGTAGCCCGGAATGAACTTTGAATGAGGTAGTAAAAAGATATAATAGAATGCAACTCAATAAAAAATATCGCCCTTGGGAACAAGGATCAAAATTTTGATTCGTTACATTGTTCGGTCATATAGGAAACAAAAACAGAATATGAATGAATTTCAAAGACATTCGAAAACATTGGTCACAATATACCGAAACAACTTGAAACATTTATTGGAGGTAACATTTTGAAATATACCGAAACACCTCAAATTATTAGAGTTCAATTAAATCACTAATTTATTTCGTTCTCTTTAGAAATGGAAACATTTCGATTGTTTCACAACGAAATTTTGATTCTTGCTTGGTAAAGCACAATGGAGGAAGAAGATTCATGTAGCCAACTTCAAATAATCCGGAATTCAGGATAAATCTTTCTTGAGTTGAGAAAGAAACTCAAAGGGCATTCAATGTCCTCCTATCCCCCCCCTCCCCAATAAAAAAAAAACACAATTTCTATCTCTAATAAACTTAACCTATTCTTTTACGATTGTTTGTCACAGTAAGGTCAATCATTTCTAATATATTTCAAATTGTCAATCATATATTTACCAAAACCATCTGATTAATGCATTGAATTCAGATTTAGCAAGCTTTCTTAATTATTGGACATACAACATCAATTAGTTCATCTATGATCTCCCTTATAAACTACATAAATTCTTGAAGAATGAATGCATCTGAATGTGTTGTTTTCGCTCCTTATGGGGTGTCACCTCCAAATTCTAAATTGACAACTAGAAATTTTACTGGATATCCTAAAACATAACACAGCATAGACATATTTTTTGCATGCAATTGCTACACAAATTCTCTTTGTTTTTGGGGTGTTGGGTAACATCTACCACACTCAGGATTAAACACGTTTTCCCAGGAAGGATGTCTTATACATATGACAAATCAAACCAAAATGACCACAAATAGGTGTACTTTCGCTGCTTACTTAACTTACTTTAAAAGATGGCCCTTTCTCTGTTTAATTGAAATTATTGGTAACAGCAAGTATCAATAAGTGGGGAACGCCATCTCATTCATGAAAACATACAATCTTTCCTAGAGTTCAATGAAAACATATAAAAAATCAAAGGAAAACTAGGAGCACGAGGTATTTCAGGATAATGGAAAGACACATACCAATGGAAGAAGAGGAGACAAATATTCCCTGCCAGAGATCTTTGAGTTCATGAAATCTGAACTCTATGTGATGAATGGCCCCTGTAAAACCAACCAAAGTGGCAACATATAATGTGTGAAGACAAATAACTGGGATGATCCACTGAGTCCCCATGTGGCATCGATCGTTTAGCGGCTTTTTCATGTGAATAACTACAACAAAGATACTTTGATATCAAGAAGAAGCAATTCGCGGAATGTTTAAGAAAAATAGCAAGAAAAGAGGGGGGAAAAGAGAGAAAGAAAACTATAGATCGTCAATCAGTCATAAGGATCCCATAAATTAATGGCAACTAGTTGTCAACTAAAGATTCAAGTGAGTAGGCATCACAACAATGCAGATCAAAATATCTAGGTTAATGCATATTTTCTTTCCAATTGAATATCTGGTGATTATAATATGTAAGAGTATGTCCCCCCATTGATCTCTTTTTTTCTTAGAAAATCCATTTTACTTCCTTATTCCAAAGATTTCTTCCCAACTGTATTAATACATGATAGACACCAGTTCAATGTTGTTCAAGCCCAAGTTTAGCCCACAATATTTGACATCGATGACAAAACCACAACATGACTCTTTTATTTAAACTAGCAGCCTTGATGATCCCAAAACAGTAGGAATGAGGGCTCTTTAAGTTTTGAAGTTTCAACAAATTTATATAATACTGTTACATGGATGACCTGGCCTCATGAAATGTTTCGTAGACTTCAAGATACAGTATTCCAACAGCTAGATATGGTAAATAAAAAGATAAAGATCAAAACAACTACATCTATAAGCTATAGAGACACGTCAAACACAAGTAATAGGAGACATAAGAAGATAAATTTAAAGAGCTGAATTAGTTATAGGTTACACATTATGTTAACAAATTCAATTCAAAGTAGTGAATATCCAATAACAGAAGTGATTCAACAGAGTGACTCTTACATGCAGATCCAGCAATCCAAGGCAAGATAATCAGCGGAAGAAGAATATAGGATCTAATAGTTGGTAGACGCCTCCTGGAATATTAAAAAGAAATGATTGACGAAATATTATTCAGATAATTAGTTTCTCTTAAGGCCTACAGCCCATTATCAGATTCCTAAGGTTAAAAAAATTGTCGACTTACTTGACAAATATGTAATATAGCTGGCAAGCCTGTACAATGCGACAGCTCAATAGCAGCCCAAATCCTAGGGGACCTTCAACCCAGACTGAATTCAAATGTGCATAAAATCAGTCCTTTGTTCAATCAGATTTACAATAAAGCAGTAAAGAAGGCACAAGGGAACTAAAAAGGTTCAAGGAATTGCAAACGGCCTAAATTACCTGCCCAAATGTAGCACGATTGCCACCAATACCTTTTTCTGAACTCCAAGATATTGAGTGCCATCTACAAAGTATGGAACAGTTACTGTTGAAATAAGCACCACTAAGAAACCAATTGCAACAAATTTGACGGTTAAGATGAATCATCGACAAATAATCTAGGTTTTACCACAATAGACAACAAAAGGTTGAAGCTGGCAAAAACTTGAATTGCTGGGATCCAAAAGCTACTGCCTTTAGGACGAGGAACCTTGCGGATTAGAAATGGCGAAGTCGACCGCACAAGAAGCCTACAAGAAAGATATTTTTATGCAACTGCATACATCTATCAAATACCAAGTGCCCTTATCTGCCAGAAGCACCAAGTACGGCATCTGAGTTCAATTAACAAGATATCCCACATATTTGGTTAAAGATTTTATACTCACTCACAGAGAAACACTTAAAAATTTCAACTTTAACTGTCCTACTTGCAATCAAACCCCTAAAAACTAGCAACACAAAGTATACATCACAAAGGTTTTTATAAATACCACTTCTAACAAATACCAACTTCCAATCACCTGTAATTGGTAGCACAACCGAGAAAAATCCTTGAATTACTCATCTACAACAACACCATCCCCGTCAATTGCCCATGNGTTTTATAAATACCACTTCTAACAAATACCAACTTCCAATCACCTGTAATTGGTAGCACAACAGAGAAAAATCCTTGAATTACTCATCTACAACAACACCATCCCCGTCAATTGCCCATGATACTCAAAACAGTGCTGAATTTTAATGGCTCACCATTGATGTCGTATTTATGTCTTAATCAGACTATAACCACCAGCTATAGTGTATAAACAAAATGAAAACCCATAAATGAGGAAGAGAGACGTACAAGATGAAGGAAAGAAGAGAGATGGAGAGGGCTATGTAGTCGCTGGGACAGCCACCTTCTACGGCACAACTGGTCATTTCTGCTGCTCAGATCTCCGGCGGCTGAACTCTCTGCAATGCCCACCAACTGCTTGTAGAAATGTGCAAACTGATTTGTCAACACTATTTTCCACCTAATTTTTGTTTGACCCAAAAAAGACACCCAGTTTAAAACATAAATTAAAGTTTAGGGACTAATTTTACTATTGGTCTTACATTTTTTGGTCCATAGTCGGATCCATTTTTTTTTTATATATTTCATAAGGGAATAAATTCTTTATAATGAAATGACAAGAAAAGGGGTTCATTTGGTATCCTAGAGAGAGAAGTCTCTCTCTCTACTTTTCCTTCTGATTTTCATGAATTTTTTTGCTTTCTTTTTTGATTCTTATCGTTCAATCATGAATGCGGATCACAATTTAAGAGTGATTCCTCCCANGACTTCTCTCTACTTTTCCTTGTGATTTTCATGAATTTTCTTGCTTTCTTTTTTGATTCTTATCGTTCAATCATGAATGCGGATCACAATTTAAGAGNCTCTACTTTTCCTTCTGATTTTCATGAATTTTTTTGCTTTCTTTTTTGATTCTTATCGTTCAATCATGAATGCGGATCACAATTTAAGAGTGATTCCTCCCAAACCACCAGATATAACAAAGAATTTTGTTTCATTGTTCAAGAATCCTTTGATTTCTACTTCAGCTCAAAAACCCTTTTCTTCAGAATTTCAAGAACCTGAGGTTATGAATGATTCTTTGAGAAATGTTGTGTCTGAATCTTCTAAACCCCCTGTCATCTCTACGACTCCTTCTAGATCAGCGAAAAGAGTTGTTTTCAATAACGGAGAACCGGGAATGTATTGGACTGCTGAAAAGACGCAAGAATTGTCGAGCAGCTTTGGCCAAACCCTAATAGGCAAGCGTGCTTATGGGAAACCTTCCTTAGGAGTAATTCGAGAATTTATTGCTACTCGATGGATGCTGAAAGGTGAATTTACGATGGGAATTCTAGACCCTCGTCATGTGTTGATTAGGTTTTCTCTCTATGAGGATTACGTGAAGACCTGGTTAAAAGACGCCACTTACATCGAAGGATTCTTGTTTAGGTTTTTCAAGTAGTTCCCTGAGTTCCAGCCTGGTGTTGAGTCGCCTGTAATTCCAGTATGGGTGTCTCTTCCGAGTTTACCCATTCATTTTTTCAATCGAGACAGCATGAGGGATATTCTGAGTCCGGTGGGAAGGATCTTAGTGATTGATAATTCGACATTGTAGTTATCACGTCCAGGGGTAGCTAGGGTTTGTGTAGAAATACATCTCCTAGCGAATAATCCCCAAAGGTTCTGGTTAGACATGGGTGGTTAGTCTAGAAGATGACAGAGGATCTGTTATAAAAAGGAAGGGAAATATTGCTCTACTTGCCTGAAGCAGGGACATGGAGTTGAGGATTGTAGAAAAGGAAAGAAATTGGAGGGAGCTCGAGTGTCGAATGAGAAGGGGGAGATCCCTATCAAAGAAAATAAAGAAGAGCCTTGGAGAGTAGTTAAAGGTAAAGGGAAGAAACAAGGGAATCGGTTGACCGATATTCAAAAAGGTGAGCTTCTAGCTGCAAAAGAGGGTCAAACACGAGTCCCGAAAGGAGAATAAGATGGTTTTTTATCCATGGGGAATGGTAAAAGTATTATGGAGGAAGTTCAAACGGGTTAGGATGCAGCTTCTTGTTTAGTTGCTGTTCAAAAAGAAGGGGTTGGTCTATAGGAGAGCAGGTGAATCAAGAAACCAGTGCTATAAGGGTTTTTGTGCAGGTGGAAAATGTCATTTCCTCTCCAAGGAAATTATGGGGAGAGGAGTGTGAATTGGATGTGGGTGAATTGCAGGAAGGGAGTATTAAGGTTGCAAATGTACATGTAGAGGAGAATGGGGCTTTGCACATAGTAGTAAACCAAAATTCTGTTCGAGAATTGGAGATGGAGGGGGTTGATGTTGATGGAGAAAAGGACTTAGGAGGTAATTCATTAGAAGGAGAAGATTTGAACAGGCAGTACTCTCCTACTTTAGACTTTACCTTTTTGGTAGATCATCTTTTTGAGAACAGAGATGGAGGAAAGGGGTCTCTAGATGATGATAGGGGTTTGTATGTGTTGAAAAAGCCTCTTGACAGAGGGTATTGCTCTGATCAGGGGAGTTCTAACAGTTGTGAAGTGGCTATGGATACTAAATGTACGGAGTTATCTCTAGCAGAGAAGGGTGGAGAGGTTCAGAATAGGGTAATCCATGGAGGTAAGGTTTCNGAAAGGAGAATAAGATGGTTTTTTATCCATGGGGAATGGTAAAGGTATTATGGAGGAAGTTCAAACGGGTTAGGATGCAGCTTCTTGTTTAGTTGCTGTTCAAAAAGAAGGGGGTGGTCTATAGGAGAGCAGGTGAATCAAGAAACCAGTGCTATAAGGGTTTTTGTGCAGGTGGAAAATGTCATTTCCTCTCCAAGGAAATTATGGGGAGAGGAGTGTGAATTGGATGTGGGTGAATTGCAGGAAGGGAGTATTAAGGTTGCAAATGTACATGTAGAGGAGAATGGGGCTTTGCACATAGTAGTAAACCAAAATTCTGTTCGAGAATTGGAGATGGAGGGGGTTGATGTTGATGGAGAAAAGGACTTAGGAGGTAATTCATTAGAAGGAGAAGATTTGAACAGGCAGTACTCTCCTACTTTAGACTTTACCTTTTTGGTAGATCATCTTTTTGAGAACAGAGATGGAGGAAAGGGGTCTCTAGATGATGATAGGGGTTTGTATGTGCTGAAAAAGCCTCTTGACAGAGGGTATTGTTCTGATCAGGGGAGTTCTAACAGTTGTGAAGTGGCTATGGATACTAAATGTACGGAGTTATCTCTAGCAGAGAAGGGTGGAGAGGTTCAGAATAGGGTAATCCGTGGAGGTAAGGTTTCTTTACCTTTACATGATTAATATTCTTTCTTGGAATATAAGGGGAGCAGGTAAAGCTGCTCAAAGAAGGAGACTTAAGAAGATAATTCTCTTAAATGATGTTTGTCTTGTTGCGATTCAAGAGCCTAAGATTAGTGCTCAGAGATTGCCTGAGTTTGCTAAATTTTTAGGTGTTGAAGGTTTTTGTGATAATGAGCTGGCAGAGAGGTATATTTGGGTGTTGTGGGATGATNGGTTTGCTAAATTTTTAGGTCTCGAAGGTTTTTGTGATAATGAGCTGGCAGAGAGGTATATTTGGGTGTTGTGGGATGATAGAGTGGAGGTGAGGGTTCTATTTACACGTGAACAATCTTTGTCTCTAGAAGGTAAATTTTTACAGACTAAGCTGTGTTAGGTTTCTGTAGTTTATGCAGCTTCTGATTATCTGTTGAGGAGACCTTTGTGGGATCATCTGAGGAATATTATTGTTCCTCCTAATATTCCTTGGATTGTTATGGGTGCTTTTAATTTAGTTTTGGATTCTGCTAAAAGGCTTGGTGAAGCTTCTCCTTCATTTGTTTCTATGGAGGATTTTTGAGTTTGTGTGAATGATGGGGGGTGGTTTGATTGTGGATTTGAAGGCAGTAGATTCANTAGTTTTGGATTCTGCTAAAAGGCTTGGTGAAGCTTCTCCTTCATTTGTTTCTATGGAGGATTTTAGAGTTTGTGTGAATGATGGGGGGTGGTTTGATTGTGGATTTGAAGGCAGTAGATTCACATGGTGTAATGGCCATGAAGGGAGCAGTAGAATGTGGCAAAGAATTGATCGTATATTTGTTAATTCTGTTTGGAATTTGGATTTTGAAAAAACTGAGATCTTGCATTTAGCTAGGGGTGGTTCAGATCATTGTCCTCTTTTGGCCAAGATTCTGGATACTTCGATTATGCCTAGGGTGTCTTATTTTAAATATCAGGAAATGTGGAAAGAGCATACTGGTTTTTTGCCTTTGGTAATTGATGCTTGGGAAGGTGTTTTTTCAAGCAATCCAATTGAGAATGTCTTTTTAAATCTTAAGAGACTGAAGGTACAGCTGAAAGTGTGGAATAAGGAAGTATTTGGAAACATCTTTGATAAGATAAGGACACAGGAAGTGGCTTTGTCGGAAGTTGAGTTAGTTATGGAAAGGGATCCTAGTGCAGCAAATGAGGCAATTCTGGAGGAGAAAAGGAAATGTTTGGATGATACGCTAAGGCTGGAAGAAATCTATTGGAGATAGAAGGCCAATGTGAAGTGGGCAATGGAAGGGGAGAGGAATTCAAAATTCTACCATGCAATTGCAAAAGGTAAGGCAGTCAGAAACAAAATCAAGAGAATTCAAAAAGAGATGGGTGAATGGGTGCATGAGGAAAAGGAAATGCCATAGGTTGCAGAGTCTTTTTTCTCTAATTTGCACAAGTCAAAAGGCAATAGAGTGGATGATCAGGTGTTTTCTGTTATTCCTAAGTTGGTGGATCACAGAGAGAATGTGAAGTTGACTAAGGAAGCTTCTTTAGAGGAAATAAAGGTTGTTGTATTTTCTATGTCTGTTGAAAGTGCCCCTGGGGCAGATGGGTTTTCTGGGGGGTTTTTTCAGCATTGTTGGGATGTGGTTAAAAATGATATTTGGAAAGCTGTTAATTTCTTTCTTAGAGGAGGGAAGGTTCCCAAATCTGCTAACACTACAGTTTTGGTGTTAATTCCTAAGAAAGATAGCCCAATTTCATTTGCAGACTTCAGACCCATCAGCTTGTGTACCTTTTTTTATAAAATACTATCTAAGGTAGTGACCAAGAGGCTTGGCTTGTTGCTTCCAGTGTTGATTTCTGAAGAATGACATGGTTTAGTCCATGGGAGAGGCATTGGGGACTGCATATCTTTGGGGCAGTTTATAGTGAATGAACTGGATAGGAAATGGAAGGGGGAATGTGATTCTTAAGCTTGATATGATGAAGGCCTTTGATAGGCTGGAGTGGAGTTTTTTGTTTCAAACTCTGAGGTGTTTTGGTTTTTCAAAGGAGTTTATATCCATCATTTCGAATTGTTTGGCTAATCAGAATGTGTCCTTATGCTTGAATGGTCAGAGATTTGGTTTTTTTCCTGTTTCGAGAGGATTAAGACAAGGAGATCCTTTGTCTCCTAGTCTTTTATAATTGCAGAGGAGGTTTTGAGCAGGGGTTTATCTATAATGTTTAAGGAGGGACATGTGGAAGCCTATCACACTGGTAGGGGAGGTTTGTTGGTTAGTCATCTGCTTTTTTGCAGATGACACCTTGGTTTTCTTGAGAGGCTATAAGAATTCTATGAGAAGTTTGTTGGGGTTTATGGAGAGGTGTGAAGGATGTTCTGGGCAAAGAATAAGTAAAGGGAAAAGTTCAATGTTTTGCTTGAAACATATTTCTGGGGCTAGGGGTTAGTGTTTGAGTGGAATTACAGGGATACCTGTNATTCTGGGCAAAGAATAAGTAAAGGGAAAAGTTCAATGTTTTGCTCGAAACATATTTCTGGGGCTAGGGGTTAGTGTTTGAGTGGAATTACAGGGATACCTGTCAAGAGGTGTCCTTTTAGCTATTTGGGTTGCCCTTTAATTAGAGGGGGGAGTAGGTTATCATATTTTGATGGGGTAATTCAGAAGTTTAGAGCCAGGATTGAGGGTNGGCTAGGGGTTAGTGTTTGAGTGGAATTACAGGGATACCTGTCAAGAGGTGTCCTTTTAGCTATTTGGGTTGCCCTTTAATTAGAGGGGGGAGTAGGTTATCATATTTTGATGGGGTAATTCAGAAGTTTAAAGCCAGGATTGAGGGGTGGTATGCTAAACTTCTATCTAACATGGGGAGGGTGGTACTTGTACAGTCTATATTGTGCTCAACCCCTGTGCATTTGCTGTCATGTGTGAATCTTCCTAAGGGTGTTTTAGCCAAGCTTAATTCTTTGATGGCAGGGTTTATATGGTCTGGTAAGACAGAAGGAAAGATGAGGCATTGGGTTGGTTAGAATGTGGTGACTAGACCAAAACAGGAAGAAGGTTTAGGGTTGAGAAGATTGGAGGATTTGCAGGCAGCATTCAGGATGAAGCAGGTCTGGGGGATTTTGCAAGGTAAATCCTTATGGGCCAGAGTGTTTTGCCACAAGTTTATGAAGGGTCAGTATTTTATGAGGATCAATGGATCTAGTAGCTTTAAGGGATTTAANTGGGGGATTTTGCAAGGTAAATCCTTATGGGCCAGAGTGTTTTGCCACAAGTTTATGAAGGGTCAGTATTTTATGAGGATCAATGGATCTAGTAGCTTTAAGGGATTTAAATATTTGTTTCCCTGGTTTAAAGAGGTTCTGGACCAATCAAGGGTATTAGTTGGTAAAGGGGAAAAGGTGGATTTTTGGTGTGATGACTGGTTGGGCTCAGGACATTTGCTCAACAAAGTTGCGGGTGTGCCTAGTGTTTTTCCAAAATTGAATGAAGTTTTTGTGAATATGAGGTGGCAGTTTCAGTTAGTGGAGGAGTGTTTGAGTCCTCAGTTGCAGACTGAGATATTAGCAACTAATTTGGTTCTTTCTGAACAGGAGGTTACGAGGGCGTGGAAAGGTGCAGAATTTGGTTTATTTTCAGTTAAGACAGCATGGGGTTTGGTGAGAATGCATAATGAGAAGTGTCCTATTGCTATTTCCATCTAGAAACAGCAAATTTCCCCTAGTGCAAAACTCATTGAGTGGAAAATTTTGAGGAAAGCTCTTTTATTGGATTCTGGCGTACAGGAGGTGGGGGGGGTGCCTTTAACAAGCAGATGTTCATTGTGTTTTAATAGTGGGGAGAATTATGATCATCAATTTGTTGATTGTCCTTATGCTAGAGCTGTCTGGGGTAAGCTGCCTGGAGCTCTGCGATTTTGTGTAGTGCAGGGGGAGAGTCCTATGGTAAGATTTAAGAGATTGGTTCGAATTTTTAAGGGTCTGTCTCTGAGTGATGGAATGATTCGAGCTATTCCTTTATCGATATATTGGAATCTTTGGAAAGAAAGATGTCGTAGGAGGTTTAAAGGGGTAATGAGAAATTCTTATGCTCTGTTTTTGGTGATTCTAAAGAGTCCGAGGTATCAGGTATTTGGTATGAAGCCTAAGAGACCTGATGATGCTAAAGGGAAGGAGGTTCTGAAATTTTTAAATGTGGAAATGGTGTGCAAGGTGGAGGTTAGAGGGAGATAGGTTAAATGGGAGCTTCCTCCTTCAGGTTACTTAACACTTTCTGTGGATTGTGTCTGTCAAGGAAATCCTGGTCCATCAGGAGGTGGAATGGTTTTGCCAAATTCAAAAGGGCTGGTTCTTCTGGCTCAATCATGTTATTATGGACAAGGGTCTAATATGACTGCAGAGTGTCTAGCCTTACTGGATGGCAGTGTTTTAAAACCCGGTCCGGTCTGACGGGTTGACCCGATAAACTAGAACCTGAACCGGGTCAGTTCAGCTATTAGATCGTTTGAGCAAAGGGAGCAAAGGAACCGAAAGAACCCGCTGAACCAGTCAGTTTTGTAATAAACTCGATGACCCGGCCGGTTTGGATCAAATCCGACGGTTTAATTTGGCAGCTATAAAAATGAAGTTGTATGGCAAATTTGTCCAAAATTTTATTTCCTGGCCCTCTTCTCTGGTTCAACGACGATATTCGTCGGTGGAAGCTACCAGCACCAGCAGCACTAGGAGCTCTAAGCCAACAAAAAGAAAAAACCATCCGCCATGGGTAAGGTTCATGGATCTCTGGCTCGTGCCGGTAAGGTGACAGGATGGCCAAGCAAGACAAGAAAAAGAAGCCCCGTGGCCGTACTCACAAGCACATGCAGTACAATCGCCGCTTCGTAACCGCCGTTGTTGGCTTTGGGAAGAAGAGGGGACCAAACTCATCAGAGAAGTAAGCTTGAAAGATGGGTAGTTTGTAGATGGAAGAACGACGAGTAATTGAATGAATTGCTATTTTGACTATGTTATAGCAATTTCTTTTTCTTTTTTTTTTCCCGGGCTGAGCTATGGTAAACCTATGCTTATTTTGTTTGCTATGAATCAGAATTTTTGTTCAAAAAAAAATACTCCAGAGGAAAATAGTAAAGATATTCTTTGATGAATGCTATTATAATATGTTTGCAATTGTGCTATTACTTGATTTGNTTTTGTTCAAAAAAAAATACTCCAGAGGAAAATAGTAAAGATATTCTTTGATGAATGCTATTATAATATGTTTGTAATTGTGCTATTACTTGATTCGAAGATTCATTCAGCTCTTATATTATGCTATTAGTTGATTTGTACTTGTAATTTTGTAGTTGATTATACTATTACGTGTTGGAACTTAGAAATTTGAAGAACTTAATTATTTAATATTGGATACAGTTTTGATGATTTTGTGGTTTTGTTTGATCTAATATACATTAAGCATGTTATTTTTATAATTACTATAATTTTTTGACCTATTTATAATAATTTTTATTTTTTTATTACTTAATCGGTTCGACCAATGACCTGACGGTTGAACCAGTAATTCATTGACCCGGTCATTTTACCGGGTTGACGTCCCAGACGGTTTTTAAAACTATGCTGGATGGGCTNCCTATTTATAATAATTTTTATTTTTTTATTACTTAATCGGTTCGACCAATGACCTGTCGGTTGAACCAGTAATTCATTGACCCGGTCATTTTACCGGGTTGACGTCCCAGACGGTTTTTAAAACTATGCTGGATGGGATTCAGTTGACGAAGGAGCAGATTGGGAATTCTAAGCTGAACATTAAATTAGATTCCCAGGTGTTGGTTAGATTGGTAAGGAAGGAAGTGGAGTGGCCTTGGAAGTTATGGGTTACTTTATCTAAGGTTGTGCGCCTTCTTGAAAACTTGGATCACAACATTTTCCATGTGTACAGAGAGGCAAATGCTACTGCTAATTGTTTAGCCAAATTGGCTGTGCAGAACAGATCTTCGAGCTGCTTTCCCATGGAGTCTTCCCTGCCTGCTGCTGTGAAGATGGTGGTGAAGCAAGACAGGAGGGGTATTCCTATGATGAGGAAATGATTGTAATTTTCAAGGATTTTCTTAATTGTAAATATGAGGTTGTAAGGTTTTTTGAAAAAAAAATAAAAATAAAAAATAAAATTGATTTTAATAATTAAAAAAGGCAAGCCTGTAAATCAAATGTTTACAGGCAGTCAATCAAAGTTTTGAAAACTACACTAAATTATTGGGAATTATCAACATTAATTTGTGTGTCTGTTTATAAGGAGGCAGACCGTAAAATTTTTTTTTTTATTTCATAATCATACTTCACTTTATTATTTTCACAATCAATAGTTATAAATAAATCAAGACAAAATCTATAGCTACAATAGTTTTCATTAGGGTACCGAAGGGATATCATAGGGTTATACCTCATAATCCGTTATAGTCCAACTCATTTTCAAGCCCCCTCCCCCAAACTCACTTAAGGTCGACTTCGGAGTGTGAAGAATGATTACATGAATAATGTGAGGAAACGTAATTGGAAAAAAACGATTATTTTCAATTCAGTTTTAACATTTTATAAAGCGAATTTGTTCCCAAATTATCTTACTACAATTTTATTGTTTTATCGACAGAGATCTCTCATACAAAGTGGATTTGTTAAACAATCATTTGACCAACTTAAAGTAAATCAAGGAGACGAAATCAATCTGCACATCAATATTCTTGTAATATGGGATGTATGGTAAGAAAATAATGTTCCAATGATGTTTTGATCCCAAAATTGAAGTAGCAACATAAATCTCAGGTTTTTCTCTAAATCATCAAGCTGAAAGGGGACTTATTCTTCACAGCACTTCACAGAGACTGGTGGGACATTGGTCATGTTGCAATGACAGCAAGGGNAAGTAGCAACATAAATCTCAGGTTTTTCTCTAAATCATCAAGCTGAAAGGGGACTTCTTCTTCACAGCACTTCACAGAGACTGGTGGGACATTGGTCATGTTGCAATGACAGCAAGGGCATTTTCCTGGACAATCTGCACATTATAAACAACCCAATCTTGTCAGTCCCGAAGGCAAAACTACAATTACCACTCAAATGTAGTTGCGAGAAAAGATTAAAAAGACAATATCATCATAGAAACTGTCCGCATAAAAGATTTTCAGCAGAGAGAGAAATTGATGAAGTTGTTCTTTCATCCTGTTGATGAAGGGACACTTGCAATTTTGATATTAACTTCTACCCCATAAAACTTCAAATTGAAGAGAAGCAAATGGAGGGTTTTCATGAAAATTCTCGATGAATTTGTATAGTTTTGTCCCCAAACATACTTTTCTCCTAGGATTGTTACTCACAGCATATGAATAGTCTCAGAATTAAATTAGATAGAGGATCCAAATAGAAAATTTTGTCGCGTTAGGTCTTCTATTTCGGAGAATTCATAACAATCTTGTAAAGCTAAGGGGGGGTAAACCAGTATTTAGCATGGCATTTAAGCCAATCTAAAGTTTCAAACTTTATGCATAAGACCCTCCAACTAGAACTCTACATGCTGTCATTTTGTTATAGGTTTCTACACATAATTTATAGTAGAAGAGGATGACTAACAAGTTTAAGATTACTGAAATAAAGTTGAAATGGGACTAGAAAATAAGAAAAAAATGAGGTTACTAAAAGCAAAACATTAGTGTGGATGTTACAGAATTGAGTGGGTAGGAGTTTGGTGAAGTTTTCGCTCGTTGAAGGTAAGCACAGGGTGATCACTAACCCCATCAATATGGATTTTAGCCACACAGAGAATGAACAAAAATGCAGACACAATAGCTAGCATCTTCATCTTGGTTTTGATCCTTGAAGGAAAAGAAACTCCTTGTGCTTGATCCATGTCTGTTCTAAGTTAACTTTTAGGGTTAATTATAAATTGTATCCCGAAAGATTATTTGAATATTAATTTGTACCCTTAAAGATCAAAAATTTTAATTTGTACCCTCAAAGATAGAAATTTATATCGATGTGCACCTAAAACTAACTACCATCAGTTTACTGCCTAAAATTAAATTGATAAATTATATCTAGATCCCCTCATATTTGTCACTTAATCATTTGAACCTCTTCACAAAATAATGGGTAATATGGAATTATAATTTTTTATTAGGATAAAATCAAATTTTTTTAACGGTTATAAAATTCTAATAAAAATACTCTCAATCTAAAATGTCCCCCCAATTGGGCATTCAAATAATTATGTTTAAGTGATATATTGTATTGCATATAAAAAACATTATATAAATACCTACATTCTATTGAACATTTAAATGGTAAACTTGATTTTGAACTTTAAAATATATCAAACTCACAAAATAAAGGGTAATATGAAATTATAATTTTTTATTAAGATAAAATCATATATTTTAACGGTTATATTAATAGATATCAATCAAAAAGTGTTACGTGTTACACGTACACAAACGTCATGAGATGTAAGAATAATATTCTAAATGTGAAGGAGTCCAATTAATTAAGTGACAAACATGAGAGGATTTAGGTATAATTTATCAATTTAATTTTAAGCAGCAAATTGACGGCGGTTAGTTTTAGGTGCACATTGATACAAATTTCTATCTTTAAAGGTACAAATTGAGATTTTTGATTTTTGAGGGTGCACATTAATACAAATTTCTATTTCTGAGATTACAAATTAAAATTTTTGATCTTTAAGGAGACAAATTGATATTTGAATGATATTTCAAGATGCAATTTATAATTAACCCTAACTTTTATAACAATTGGTAATAAGTTGTCTTTTATGGGCATTTATGAGGTTACCAAACTTTATTTGTTTGTCATATCTTGGCTAGGCCTATGTGAAATTATTATAGAAGGTGGGTCTAGTAATTAAGACGTGACCGTTAAATTCATTAATGAAATTAAAAAAAAAAAAAAAAGTTCATTGTACCTATAGTGGGATATAGAACCAAATGGTTTGTCGATGTGAGCTAAACAATTTTGATTTTGACTCATGACCACGTTGTTGCCACGCCGTAACCTACACCAACGCTAAATCATTTATTTTTAACAAAATGAAATTCATTTAAAATTAATATTTTACTTAATTAGCGTCTCACATTAGTTTGTTTTTTCATATGAGTATCTCTAATCTTTACTCTAAATTTAAATTTGAGTAAAAAAATTATAAATTTTTTTTCCAATTTTATACTTATACCCATGTCAAATTAAGAGAAACTCATTTTTTTACTAAAATTAATACCCAAATTTTTAATTGTGTAGTTTCACCCTCCTTTAGAGATCTAATAATCATATTTTATCTTTATTTTAATTTCACTTTGTTTTCATTTAAATTTGAGTTCTCTTCCTTTAAATTTGAGTTTTTCCATTGAAGAGGTCTATATCAAATCAAGTTTTTCTCCCTTTTTTTTTTTTACTCAAATTTGAGTAAAAGTTTGAGTTTCCATGGGAGATGGTAAGAGCATCTCCAACCCTTACATTTTTTTAAACACAAATTTAAATTTGAGTAAAAAAATCTTTAAAAATCTTCTTCAATGCTATACCCAAACTCATACCAAAAAAAGGGAGCTTTAAACTTTTATCCAAATCAAAAGAGACTCAAATATTAATCATTTTCACTAATTATTAGATTTCATTCTCCTTTAAAGATCTAATTGTCATATTCTATCTTCTTTTAAATTTGAGTTTGTCCTAATTTAAATTTGAGTTTCTTCTATTAAATTTAAGTTTCTCCATTGGAGAGGTCTTTATCAATTAAGAATTTACCAACTTTTTACTCAAATTGGGAAAAGACATCTCTAATCCTTATCATTTTTTAAATCCAAATTTAAATTTGGGTAAAAAACTACTAAAAAAACTTTTCAAATATTACACTCATACACACATCAAATCAAGA